TAAAATTTGGTCAGAAAGAGTAAATTTTGGACCAAATTTAAATAATATATAAAATATTGCCGAAAATATAAATTTTATACCAAATTTGTAAAAAAATTTGAAATTTGGAACAAAAATGTAATTTTTGAAAGTTAGAAAACTTGTTGACCTTGCAAAATGGATAGATTGAATACGTATTTATTTCTTTTTTAAAAACATATGTATATGCACCCAAATAAGTGTTTGTATATAGTTTTTTTTTTTATAAAATAGGTGTTATATATATATATATAATATATATATATATATATATATATATATATATATATATATATATATATATATATATATATATATATAACACCTATTTTATAGTAAATTCATTTGTATTCAAACACATTTATATATAAAATGTATACAAACACAATTATATATATATATATATATATATATATATATATATATATATATATATAATGCTTGTATACAAATGTATTTTTAATAAAATCGGTGTTCATACATTTTTTTTGTAAAATACGTGTTTGTCTATAATTTTTTTATAAAAACATATTTTTATATATTTATATAGTTATTAAATAACTATTTTTATAAAAATGTATTTCGTATATACCAAAAAGTTGTTCTATTTTTTGAAAATTATATAGAAAATATAAGATTTTTTATGTGAAAATATGGTTTTTTTGTATACATATGATTATATAAAGAAAAAACATAGTCGAAACAAAATTGTGAGAAAAAAGCTGTAAAAAACTAAAGTTAGAATGTATTCGTAACAAAATTCTAAAATTTGGTCAGAAAGGGTAAATTTTGGATCAAATTTAAATAAAATATAAAATATTGGCCAAAAATGTAAATTTTATACCAAATTTGTAAAAAAAATTGAAATCTGGAACAAAAATGTAATTTTTGAAAGTTAGAAGACTTGTTGACCTTGCAAAATGGATAGATTGAATACGCGTATCGATTTTTGGGACTTAATTGAATAAAAAATATATAATAACTAAATCAATTATGAGACCAATATGTCAAAACTTTATTGCAGTTTTCGTTTATATATATATATATATATATATATATATATATATATATATATATATATATATATATATATATAGAGAGAGAGAGAGAGAGAGAGAGGAGAGAGCTAGGTTCAAGCATTCTAAGTAATTATTGTGTTGATGTTGTATCCTATGAGAATGATAAAGAAAGTATATTATTTGATAATATAAATACGTTAAATCTTACATAACTATTATTATTAACACATTCTCACTAATTAAATCGTCTATAAGGTTATTATACACTTATTATTATTATTATCATTTCTATCAGAATGTTTTATTGGATCGTATTCTGTCAGAATGAAAATTAGTGAAAAACGATATGTGAGAACAATAATAAATAATAATTAACGAGAATGCATGACAATGATGATATTTTTGTAAGGTTGAACGTATTCGTATTGTTAAACAAGTTATTCTCTTAGTAATACTCGTAGCATACGATATCCGCACAATAATTAGTTACAATAAAATAACTTAAGTCTATATATATATATATATATATATATATATATATATATATATATATATATATATATATATATATATATATATATATATATATATATATATATATATATATATATTCAAAAGTTATATATTGATGTTTTATAACTTCAATGGTATTTTCTTTATTTTATATATTTGATTATAAGAAAAATATGAATTGGAATAAATACATGAAGTATACGTTAAACAAAGTTTAATTTATTTTGTGTTAGAAATAAAGCAACGTAAAGAGCAATTTTATGTATAACTAGGGAAGGATCCATGTTTGGCATGTGTCAGAAGGGGTTTTGTTTTTTGTTTCAATGGATAAACATAATGTAGTTATATACGAAACTGGATTGCATTTAAGAGTAGATATTACATATGTTCCTACATAAGCAGAAGATGTGAAATACATAATAGATAATATTCGAAAAAGGAGGGTGAAACTGACTATTTCGGATTGCATTTAAGAGTAGATATTACATATGTTCCTACATAAGCAGAAGATGTGAAATACATAATAGATAATATTCGAAAAAGGAGGGTGAAACTGACTATTTCGGATTGCATTTAAGAGTAGATATTACATATGTTCCTACATAAGCAGAAGATGTGAAATACATAATAGATAATATTCGAAAAAGGAGGGTGAAACTGACTATTTCGGATTGCATTTAAGAGTAGATATTACATATGTTCCTACATAAGCAGAAGATGTGAAATACATAATAGATAATATTCGAAAAAGGAGGGTGAAACTGACTATTTCGGATTGCATTTAAGAGTAGATATTACATATGTTCCTACGCCAGTATGGAGATACCTAAGCATGTTAGGGTGTCATGGTCAGTGGTGCTGGATGTTGATAGAAACTATTGCGAAAGTTATTAGAAAGTGAATGGGATTTGGCATGCAATTTTGTTTGTTGTTTCCTCTCTTAGTTGTAGTTGTTGATGTATCTGATCATAGCCAATTTGGAGATTCTTTTTGTTGTATCAGATTGTCAATTGTAGTGATCATGTTTTCTTTCACCAAATATTTTGGTACCTCCGGGTCCTGTTCCTCAGCAACAAAAACTAAAATGATTTTTTTTTTTTTTTAATTTTAACCATTAAAAGTACAATTAGGTGGTCTATGTGCTACTCTTCTTAGCTGCTCTCTAACTTCAATTATTTTTTACTGCAAAAAGAAAAGGTAAATAAGATATATAAAAATAATACCGTTAATGGATACTCTTTTTTGAAAATAACCGTAAAAAATGTAATAAGTGACTTTTCTAAAGCTATTGAGAGCTTTACCATTGCATGGTATAAATAATCTAAAAATTAAAAATCAATTCTATGGTGATTCACATGGATGTTTTTATCCATATTTTGTAGCAAATAGATATGAAATTTTGAGAATATTGTAAACAGGGTGCGTCAATGTAAAGAGACTTATTGTAAAAAAAAAAAAAAAATCATTTTAACTTACTAACCAAACTTTTTACAACTTGCAGGTGAAACTTATTAAAAGAATCCCAAATACGAACTCCCATTTGAAAAATCAAAGAACCCATGAGTTGTTTGATAACTAACAATTGGGCGTCTTTGTTAGTAATGAAATGCAGCTCAATCCTTATAGACCCGTGTAATTCCTTTCTATTAGTCAATGTTCAACATCACATGAAATTTCCTATTACAAATTAAAACTAAAACTGAGTCACCCTTGGAAATTTAATGTATTGGAGGACTATGAGCGTTAATTTGATAATGGTTAAATGGTTTCAATAGGAAAAACATTATCATGAGAAGAAGAAAGTATATACGTACAATACATGATGTATTCGGTTTAGAAACTTTTCTCTAACAACTTCAACTTAAATGTTCTTGATGAAATCTTAGGCCATGATGAGAGGATATTCATCCATGGTCTTTTAACTACTTGACAAAAAAAAAAAAAAAAATCATACGCCCACAAATGCACAAAATTATCAACATGAAAATTATGGAAAACTTTCCTGTACCATTAAATATTGTAAAAGGTTTGAACAGGAAAAGCGCTGATCTGAAAAAGTACTGAAGATGCATGCCATCTCAATAGCAAGTCTATTTATGAAAAAACCTTCAAAATTTTCATATAAAAGATTTTCATAGTCCTCTCATTTGACTGATGTTGATAATTAAAGAGGGAAACGAAATGGGGCATTAGGGTGGAATGAGATTTTTTTTTATCATTGTTTGATGGAACGGAATGATAAAACGTTTACTATTTATATGATTTTTTTAAAATAATTATTTTCTTTTAGTAAAATATTCTCTTTTTATCTTTGAAAATAAAAACTTAAAATGTTTTTATAAAAAATATTTTTTTTTTGGAAAAAAAAAAAAAAAAACCCTGGCTAAGTAATGAAGATTAACAAAGTGGAAGGAGTCAAACTCCTTCATTCCATCAGATAAAGATAATCAGCTTCTTTTTTCATTCCATTAGAATCAATCACCCATTCCATTCATTCCTCCAATTTCATGTCTACCAAACTACCAACGTATTTTTGACATTTCTAAAAGATTTGAAAAGAAAACTGACCAAAAATACTGGATGACCATTTTCTGTCTGATTACTCTTCATGAAAATAAATTGTAAACATTGTGTAAAATATACTCGAATAGAAAGAGAAAAGATATATGACATACCAAACTGTAATGAGTAGGTATATATGAAGATCAAGAAACCTGGAAGGGTAAGCTCACAGCCATACCAAACAAATTACAAACTTTCTGGTGCAGGTCATTGAACTTTTCCTGCAAAAATCTTTGGGATTTACAAATGAACAAAAACTAATTAATATCCATCAGTTCCAAATTTAGTGCAACCTTTTACCAATTACATGAACAAATAATGTTCTTGCCAAAAGAAGAAAATGAAATGACCTCATCAAGCAAATTAGTTTGAAATTTGATCAAAATAGATCAATTCACAGTTAAAACTTCAAGAGTAAGTTATAGTACTTGGTATGTGACAAACCGCTAAAACACTAAATATCAACGATGCTTACATTTTATCAGCTTCCCAACTACTTTGCGCCATTTACTTCAAAACCACCGATTAACTAAGGTCAATAACAACTCTTCTTTTTAATCTTTTCCAAACATTAGAAAAAGAAAACCAAGGTAAATAACCAATTAAGAAATATTGATTAACAATATCGAAGCCGATGAAAACCGATGGTTAAAAATCAATTAAGGTACAGAATGTATTAAATTGGGTTTCTTTCTTTCTTATTTCCCCCGCCAAATCAAATTCCATATACAGTTTTCTGACCCCACATGCATGCCTACAATAATCGACAAAAATAAGCACCAGCTAGAGTTTGGAGTTTCAGATGACAAGAAATCAGCGGATTTCAAGCTAAAGATATACCAAATACTTGTTGTTAGCTCCGCCTCGAATCATGTATCTGTAGACATTCTAGGAAACCCACAAATCAGCGGAGGCGGTGGAGGAGCCGACGCCCTCTCTCCAAGCGAAGTGAGCACCAACGTCGGATGCGGTGTTGCAGAGTCGTAGCCGGAGGAACTGGAATAATACCCTCAAATTAGCCAGATTCTGCCTAGGCAACGGTGCGTGGGACTCCAAACAGAAAGAAAAACCGATTAGTTTTGATTTACTTCAAAATTAGGGTTTAAATTGGAGTATTAAACCAAAGAAAGACCCAATCGATTAGAGGTGGTGGGGCGATACCTGGATTAAATTGATTGGCGGTGAATGGAATATATAAGCGATGAATGGAAATGGAAGGAGAAAAGGGTAGAATCGGAGTTTTTGTGGTGTAATCGATGTTCCAAACGAATAGCAGGACCGGTGAGGTGAGCGGTGGGAACCGAGAGCAGCAGAGATAAAAGAAGACGGTAGATCGGCTAGGGAAGATAAAATTGAGTAGTGGTGGAAAGATCAGGAGGTAGTAGAGTTGGTGGATCGGAAAAGTAGGAAAACGAACACATAGATAGCATGTAATCCACTATCAGGGCAAGGTTAAGACACATCTAATCCACTATGGTATCTGTCAGTTGAAATTGGCGGTGGTGGAACAAAACAATGTTCTACAATTAAAAGTAAAGCAGAAAAGAAAAAGCAAAAAAAAAAAAAAAAAAAAAAAAAATCATCCAAACACATGAAAGTCTTGTTCATGTTCATCATGCACTTGTAAATTAATATATATATATATATATATATATATATATATATATATATATATATATATATATTTTGTTATAAATTTGATGTAATTAAAACAAGATTAGTAAAACTAAACTAAGAACCTTTAAGAAAGAAGAAAGGAAGGAAGGAGAGAATTTGATAACTTATATAAAGTATTCAAATTGATGTATCTTTTACATATGTGATAGTGCTATTTATACTAGTTAATCACTAGACATAATTAATGAGTTCTTACACATATTTGACATATTTATCATAAGAGTTGAAAATAACTCTTACACATTTGACATTAGGAAATGTTGTCATTCAATTATTTACAACACTCCCCCTTGGATGACATCATTTCAAATTAGAGTTCAACCTTGAAGTACTGCCTCATTAAAAACCTTGCTAAAGAAAACCCAGTGGGAAAAAACTTTAGCGAAGGGAAAAAGAGTGCAGTGTATAGTTTACTCCCCCTTATTTAGACATCTGTCACATTATATTCTATGCACATGTCGCATTCCGATGCCATGGACATGTTTCCTGAATATTGCAGTAGGAAGTGCCTTCGTAAAAAGGTCTGCTGCATTGTTACTGGATTGAACATATTTGATTTCAACTTGATGGTTCTTTATAAGCTCTTGAGTGTACTCAAAAAACTTTGGAGGTATATGTTTTGTCCTGTCGCTCTTGATATATCCTTCTTTCATTTGAGCGACACATGCTGAGTTATCTTCATATATTAAAGTTGGACATATATCCTTTTCAAGTCCACATGAAGTTAAAACTAGTTGTGTCATTGATCTTAACCATGTACATTCTCTACTAGCTTCATTTAGTGCAATTACTTCAGCATGATTTGAGGATGTGGCAACAAGTGTTTGCTTTTGAGAACGCCAGGAAATTGCAGTACCTCCATTCATGAATACGTATCCAGTTTGAGATCTAGCTTTATGAGGATCGGACAAATAACCTGCATCTGCATAACCAATCAAACCTTGTTTTGAATCGTTAGGGTAAAATAACCCTAAATCACTAGTTCCTCGAAGGTATCGAAAAATATGTTTGATTCCATTCCAATGTCTTTTTGTTGGGGCTGAACTAAATCTTGCTAGCAAGTTTACTGCAAAGAAATGTCAGGTCTAGTACAATTGGTAAGATACATAAGAGCTCCAATTGCATTTAGATATGGCACTTCTGAACCAAGGACTTCTTCATTTTCTTCGCATGGACGAAATGGATCCTTGTCAATATTTAATGATCTAACAACCATTGGAGTGCTTAAAGGATTTGCATTGTCCATATTGAAACGTTTCAAGACTCTTTCTGTGTAATTTGATTGATGCACAAGTATTCCGTTAGGCATATGCTCAATCTGTAAACCAAGACAATATTTGGTTTTTCCAAGATCTTTCATTTCAAATTCTTTCTTTAAAAGTTCAATCACTTCAAGGATTTCTTTATTCGTTCCAATGATGTTCAGATCATCAACATAGACTGCTATGATCACATATCCAGATGTTGTTTTCTTAATAAATACACATGGACAAATAGTGTTATTTTTATAACCTTTACTTGTCAAATAATCGCTTAAACGATTGTACCACATGCGCCCAGATTGCTTTAAACCATACAAAGATCTTTGTAATTTTATAGAATACATTTCTTTGGGTTTTGTACTTAACGCTTCAGGCATTTTAAATCCTTCAGGGATTTTCATATAGATATCACTATCAAGTGATCCATACAGGTAAGCTGTAACAACATCCATAAGACGCATCTCTAAATTTTTAGATACTGCCAAGCTGATTAAATATCTGAAAGTGGTTGCATCCATTACTGGTGAATAAGTTTCTTCATAATCAATTCCAGGTCTTTGAGAGAAACCTTGAGCAACAAGCCTGGCCTTGTATCTTACAATTTCGTCTTTCTCATTTCTTTTTCGTACGAAGATCCATCTATATCCTAATGGTTTCACAACTTCAGGTGTGAGGATAATGTTCCCAAAAACCTTTCTCTTGTTAAGAGAATTTAATTCAACTTGCATAGCTTCCTTCCATTTAGCCCAATCATTTCTTCTTTGACATTCAATGACAGATTGTGGTTCAGGATCATCATTCATAATATCACATGCAACTGAATAAGAAAATATTGCATTTATACTGTCAGTTTCATTTTGGTCACATATTCTATTTGGCTGACCATAATTTTGTGCATCATCCTCTTTTCCTGGGGGAATTTGAATAATTCGTGTTTCTCCAGGAACACTTTCCTCATGATCTAGTGCATTTTCTGCTCCTCTTCTTTTTCGTGGGTTCTTATCCTTAGAACCAAATGGCCTTCCACGCTTCAGGCGTGTTTTAGACTCTTGAGTGACTTTATCATCAGATTGTCCATGTGGAATGTCAATTCGAGCTGGAACATTGACAGCGGGTATATATGATTTAGTCACCCTTTTTGTGTCAGTAAATGCATCAGGTAATTGATTTGCCATTTCTTGGAAATGCATTATCTTTTGAACTTCTATATCACATTGCCTTGTGCGAGGGTCAAGATATGATAAAGAAGGCTCATGCCATGACACATCCTTTTCCATGATCTTCTTTTCTCCACCTAATGATGGGAAATTTGCCTCATCAAATTGACAATCTGCTAGGCGTGCTGTGAAAACATCACCTGTTAATGGTTCAAGATATCTTATAATAGAGACTGACTCATAACCAACATATATTCCCAACCTTCTTTGAGGACCCATTTTTGTCCGTTGAGGTGGTGCAATAGGGACATATACTGCACACCCAAAAATTCTCAAATGGGATATATTTGGTTCTTGACCGAAAGCAAGTTGTAGTGGAGAATATACATGATATGAACTTGGTCTTATGCGTATCAATGATCCAGCATGTAAGATTGCATGGCCCCAAACAGACACAGGAAGTTTGGTCCTCATTATCAATGGTCTAGCTATTAGCTGGAGACGTTTAATCAGTGATTCAGCTAAACCATTTTGTGTGTGTACATGAGCAACTGGATGCTCAACAATAATTCCGACAGACATACAATAGTCATTAAATGCTTGTGAAGTAAATTCACCAGCATTATCAAGTCTCACTCTTTTGATAGTATAATCAGGGAAATGTGCCCTTAATTTAATAATTTGGGCAAGAAGCTTTGCAAATGCCATATTACGAGTTGATAATAGGCAAACATGAGACCATTTGCTGGATGCATCTATTAAGACCATAAAGTATCTAAATGGTCCAGATGGAGGGTGAATCGGTCCACATATATCACCTTGAATTCTTTCTAGAAATCTAGGTGATTCCCTTTCAACTTTCATTGGAGAGTGTTTTATAATTAACTTTCCAAGGGAACAAGATATACATGGTTTTATGCTATTGGATTGAGGGAACTTTTGGTCCTTCAATGGATGCCCATGTGTATTCTCAATTATCCTTCGCATCATTGTTAATCCTGGGTGGCCCAACCTATCATGCCATAAACTGAATGTCCCAGGATCACAATGTTTTCCTTCGATTACCATATTTGATTCAATCATATGTATATATGTATAATGCAGACCGGAATCAAGTGTTGGTAGTTTTTCAAGCACATGACTTTTGTCTATAATATACATATATTTCTTATTTTCAATGGTCACAGTCTTTGTGTCATATCCTTTGAAATATATGTCATTGAAACTTAATAAGTTTCTATTAGACTTTGGAGAAAATAAGGCATTTTCTATACAAAAGTTTGTACCATTTGGTAATATAAAATGGGCTTTCCCGGTTCCCTCTATCAAGTCTGCAGGACCTGATATTGTATGTATAATTGTTTTTGTTGGTACTAATTTTGAAAAATATTTCTTTGATTTCAGAATAGTATGTGTACTACCACTATCTGCTATACAAAGATCTCCAATCTTTTCTTGGTGTTGTGCTCCAGTTGGACTCATATTAAACTTCACATATGAAAGGAATAATAAGTGAATAAACATAATCATAATTATTATTAAAAGAAAGTTCATTTATTGAAGGAAAGGCATTACATGCAAAATAAACGAAGGAAAAACAGTTTTACTAGAACAATAATAGATTTTTTTTTTAGTTAATGTCTTCCATGTCATTGCAGAAATCGGCAACATTTAGCGGAGTAAATTCAACATTATCAATGAGGTTTGCTTCCTTTCCTTTTCCTTTAATGGACTCTTGATAAAGTTGACAAAGATGTGCAGGTGTGCGACAGGTCCTTGACCAATGGCCTGTGCTACCACATCTATAACATGAACCATCAGATTTTTGTGATGTCCCAGTGTCATGTCTTGCCACTTTGGCCTTATCTTGTGTGTGGACATTGTTTCTTTGTGAATGTTGGTAATTATTCCTTTTTTGGCCACGACCACGATTATTACCTTGTCCACGACCAGAATTATGGTTCTGATTATGGCTTTGGTTTCGATTAAAGTAGCCACGGCCTCGTCCTCGACCACGACCACGCCCTCGTCCACGTGTATTGTTTCGATGACTATCAATATTTGTAGCATTTGCTTCAGGAAGTGCTACTGATCCTGTTGGACGAGATTCATGGTTTTTCATCAAGAGTTCATTGTTTTGCTCTGCAACGAGCAGACATGCATTCAGTTCAGAATATCTTGTGAACTTTTGCATCCGATATTGTTGCATCAAGGTAATGTTTGTTGCATGAAATGTGGAGTAAGTTTTCTCCAACATATCTTCATCAGTAACTTCTTGTCCACAATATTTGAGTTGTGAACATATTCTGAACAAAGCTGAGTTGTATTCATTTACTTTCTTGAAGTCTTGAAACCTCAGTGTTCTCC